TGGTAAAATAATGTTGAACTTACTATCTCAAATTTCTGTTGGAGTCTGGTTCACAGTGAACTCCTTAGTGAGACCGCAGCCAGATTATCGTGACAGTGTAACTGCTGAGGCGTCTAAAATTGAACTGTATTTTATAATTTAACTTAAACTTTAGCTTTTGAGATCCTAATGGAACTTGGGCTATACCGTATTAAGTACTGCACAAAATTCAAGAGATGGTTCCTGCCTTTACCTCTGTAAGTCTCCGAACAAAATGGGAAATCAGACAAAAGTGGAAAAAGGAGGAGCTGTTATCCACATTGTACAGATAGGGACCTAGGGCAGAGGGAAACTATTTAAAAGTGTTTGAGTGACTTGGCCACTTTTGCAATTTTTGCCTGTAAGCTGACTTGGACAAAATTGCACATACACACTATTAAGATGAGAAATACAGGTAGGTCTGCAAAAAATACAGGCAACACAACATGATATCTCTGAGATGCTGTCAGTAGAAAGCCATATATTTAATCAACTAGACAGAAGACTTTCTTTGAATAGCCAGTGAGTACAATGAGATCAATCTTGTGGAACCCTCTCTGTATGGTGGGAACAGGAACATTTCTCTGACAACTCCTCTCCTAACTGTAAGAAGTTTGCAACAGAATTGTCAACGTTTTGTAACTGTTTGTTGCTTTACTCTAGTTTGCCTTGTTTGTTCTGAATGCAGCTGCGAGTTAATCAGGAAGAACTGCCAGAAAACTGTGGTAACATTCAGGATGAAGAACAAGATGCAGCTATTAGCAAGCATCGTCAGAAAATGGCAGAAAACAAAGATCAGATGAGGACCAATGTCATACAGGAAATTATGAACACAGAACGAGTCTATATCAAACATCTCAAGGACATCTGTGAGGTATGTGCTTTAACCTGGGGGCGTTCTGCTGCCCTAGTGTGAACAAAACTTCCCATATGAGTTGAGAACCAACCGAGTGGTTTCTTTTATCCAAATAATCTCAATTGCACATCTGAGGCTGCCAGTGAGAACCTTCTTGTGCCCTGCTCTGACTCTCCTCTCTGTAGATTGCCACAAGGCACCGCTTCCTTTTTAAGAAAACAATCCACTTTTGACATGGGAAAAGTGCTTTGCTTATCTGACCACTTTTTCCATAAACATAAGGGACAGGAAGTCCAGTTTATTTAGTACTTCTTATCACTTGGTTTTTATAGAAAACTTTCAGTACGTTTAGTAAATTCTATTACAATTCAGAGATGGAACATTTTGAAAGTAACCTGGAAGGAGAATTTTTCAGCTAGCGATTTTTGCTGGGTGCTTAGTAGCTATGAAGAAATCTTTAAAGGTGTTTTAGAAATACTCTGCTTGTTTGAACTATCAAATATCAAGACCATAGTGTTTTTCTTCTGCTGTTTGCTCAGTTTTTCTTGGAGGACCACACTTAGGAGCTTCTTAAAACTTTGACTGAACTTTGCCTCTTCTGAAGTGGACTGTGATGCAACTGATCTGTATTTGAGATCTATTTGTGATTTGTGATTAATAAAGGCCCCTGGAAGGGTGCTAAGTAACCTCCTAAATTATTCTCTCTACCCTCAGTTTGCTGGGTCTCTGTCTGTATTCGTCATGTTGTCATCTTTTAGTCCACCGCTCATCACAAGAGTCTTTAATGGCAAACAAAGTAGACAAAAGGTGAACTTCTGATATCAGAAGACAAAAGTGTTTTTTTTTTTTAACAGAGCTTTTTAATGGATTTTGAAGGAATAAAAAAGGGAAAACAAATTAAAGGACAAAACTTGTTGTTAATTTGCGGGCTATTCCTCAAAAATTAAATGTGAATTTTGTCATTTAGGTGCACTCTTTACTTCGGCTAGAGTAAGTTTACTTGGATAAGTGAAAGGTCAGGGAGGAGTTTCTACATACAGGTGTGTTACTGTCGTGGTTACCTGGGTTCTAGGACATGACTTTCATATTTTACTGAACTGTTAATTCTTAAACTGGTATTAATTTTTAAACTTCTCTAATACATTTCTCCTATAACTCTTATCTTTCTGAAAGCTGACGTGCGTCTGAGTTTAGTAAAGCAGAGCTAACACACATTTCCAAGTGGAGAAATGGTGTTCCACATTCAACCTGTGGGGCAGAGATGGTCTGCTTTCCTCAGAGTGAACCAGTAGGGTGCTGCAAACAGGACGTAAGGCTGAAAATACACTGAAGTAAGACTGAGTCAGAAAAGATACTGCAGATGCTAATCCAAATTTGCCAGCTCTGCACAAGAATGAATCACTGGGGCGGGTGCAGTCAGGATCATAAAACTGGTATCATACCCAGAAAGAGATTTTAAGTTCAAAAAATTATCTGTAGTCCACATTTGCAAGAGCTGCACAGATCATTTTCCTTGTTGGCATCCAGTAGTAAACCTGATGGCTGGCTTACATACAGTATAGCTGCTGCACAGCTCTCAAAGCAGATGGTTGTGGAGAAGACAGGACTATTCCGAACAGTGCTAGCAATATTCAGAGTTGCTTCCTGGAAAGCCTCACTGGAGAAGCTGCGGGCTTTTTACTGCTATCTGCGCCCACAGGGATTTAGGAGAACCTTGCCCGAGAGCCGCCAGACAGAGGAGGCTGGCAGATAATCGCAACGCAGCAGTTAACCTTTGCACCATCCGTACCCAGGCGCCACAGCTGCTAAGAGAGTATGAGCACAGCAGAAGTTCCTGGACTTGCAGCTCCTGCACCGTGTCCTACCTCCACCCTCAGCTTCAGCACCTGGGATCGAGGACTTGCGGCTGCATGTGGCAGCTGCTGCCGAGTACCCAAGCCCATTAGAGCCCCTGATCTTTCCTTCGCCTCATAGCTATGTGAATACTGATATGATCTAATGTGGATTACTGAACGCAGAACAGAATTTGCCCGAGGGCTTTTTAAAACTGGAGGACTCGGCCAGGTAGCTACTTAAGGTTGGTTGCAAATGAAGTGAACTGGACCCGTGTGCTGTCCTTTCAAGTACAGAGAAAAAAGTGGAGAAAGTGATCATATTTTTCCGTGCGGTCTTGCCAGTACTATTAACTCCTGCCAATGAGATAGCGATTTTACCAAACAGTAGCATACTGAATGTGTTGTAATATGTTTTTGATTCTGCTTCTCTGGCTTAGAGTATGCCCTGCTTACATACTATTAAGAAATCACCACTTTAGCCTTGGCAGAAATTGTCTTTATATTAATTGTTTAGGATTTGTTCTTATTCATATAGAGAAGAACTGTTATGGCACAGGTGAGTTAAAAAAAAGCACAGCAGCTAGTAGTGCACATGGGGCCTTAAGCCAGGCCTTCTTCTGGCTTCATAACAGGAAGATGCGAATGAGGTTTACATATTCTGCAGATATCTGCGTCACTAACTCATCTGCTGTACTGTGAAGTAGATATTGGATTAGAAAAACTGGTAGTGTAATGCTTGAACATCAACCTGAAATTCCACTTCCAGTTGTGTGTGCAGGATTGGAAACCGGACACCTGCCCTGAGGTCACAGCATCTAATTCCTGCCAATTGAAATGGGCTTGTTCAGAGTAGAACCTGTTTTTGTTATCTTCAGACTTGATAAAAAGAGGTTCTCTTATTTCATTTCCAGGGTTATATTCGGCAGTGCCGCAAACATACAGGAATGTTCACTGTGGCGCAGTTAAGCACCATTTTTGGGAACATTGAAGATATTTACAAATTCCAAAGGAAGTTCCTGAAAGATCTGGAGAAGCAGTACAACAAAGAGGAACCTCATCTAAGTGAAATAGGGTCATGCTTTCTTCAACATGTATGTCACAAGAATTCATTTTATTTATGACATGAACAAAATATGATAAGAAAAAGCTGAGTCACCACATGAGGAGGAGATTTTACTAATTTATCAAATACTAAACTGAGCATAGATAACATTTTAGAATCCAGAGTGTTTGCAATTTAAAAATTACTTATATACTTTAGATTCCTCCTCATTCCTTAGTAAGAATGTATCTCTGTACATATTAAAGTTTCATTTTAAAATTTGAAGTGATCACAGATGAGCTAGACTGTTTCCAGGGCTCTCAAATTGTTTGAATAGGCATACAAAAACTGCCTAAAGAAAACAAGGAAAGGAGGTGGTGGGGAAAGGCTCTGTGAGTCCAGGAGAAACGCTTGCTGAAGCTATAGCCATCAAGGCTTTCTAATTTCTAAGATTCCCCGAAGAAAAGTACTTTTTCAAGTAGTGGGTTTTATTAATCTAACTCAATGGAGCCTCTATTTCTGTGTTCATACAAAGAAGGTACCTAGTTTTAACAGTTACAAAGTAAATTTCTGTGTAGTTTAACCCTGACTTTTATTCATTTTGGAAACAATTTAGGAAATGAATGAATGAATTAATATAACTGCATATAACAGATGTTACCAAAAAATCTGACCGTCTTTATAGACAAATACTTTAAAGCTTTGGCCTTTTTTTTTTTTTTTTGTAGCAAGAAGGCTTTGCTATTTATTCAGAGTATTGTAACAATCATCCCGGTGCCTGCATTGAACTTTCCAAGCTAATGAAACAGGGCAAATACCGTCACTTCTTTGAGGCCTGTCGCTTGCTTCAGCAGATGATTGACATTGCCATTGATGGTTTTCTTCTCACGCCTGTTCAGAAAATCTGCAAATACCCTCTGCAGCTTGCAGAATTGCTCAAATATACCACTCAGGAGCACAGGTGAGAGAATTGAAAAGATAAATACTGAACAGCAATAACACGTAATTACTCAAGCTTTCTGACTTAAATAGGCAGCACTGAGCCACGCTGAGTCTTTCAAGATCAGGAACAAATCTCCCGCTGACTGCTATAGACAAGTGTTCCTCTTGGAGACAGCAAAATATTAACAAGAATAGCATCTGAAGTGTAGCACAGGGGGACAGGCAGGGTGCAAGAGAATGAGGAATAAGTGAAACAGAGAGAAGGGGAAAGGTGCTGAGGAGCAATTTGTAAATCAGAGTAAAGAATGCCAATGTGTCCAAAGAAATGAAGAGGGAAATACTCAGAAGATAGGCGGAAGCTGCATAATCTTGTGGACATAAGAAAAGGTAAAGAGGGTCTTAGAATAAAAACATAATCTGAGTGAGTTTATAATTTTTTTTTAATTTAAAAGTAATGAACACTGCAGAAAAAAGGTGTTGTAGGAAGAAAGTTTCTTAATTCCAGTAAAAAGATGTAGTTAGAAAACTTTAGAACATAGAGAGAATGCTCAATAAGGGGAGAGAGCAAGTAACTTAAAATAATTTTATAAGAAAATATTAGCAAACTGTTTTTATTCAGATGCCCAGGTGTTTATACGTTCTTTGTTGCTATTTTCTGATGAAAAATCCCTCTAATGATAGGGGCATCCCCCAACAAGGCTCCCAATAACTTCATGGCAAATACTTATTGTCCCAAAAAAACACAGAATATTTTGGGATCATCTGACAATGACTCAAGTCATGATTCATGTGGATAGTGATCCATATTCAGGATTTACTTTGCTACCACATTCTTGCTTACTCCTCGCCCTGTATAGCCTTTCCCAGGGATGTTCCTGATATTCAGCTGTCTTGACTTTTTAATTGTCCTGACGTCTCTTCCCCTCCTGTTTTACCCCAGAATTTCCTTAGTACCCTCACAAAGCTTTGCTATGATGATCCTCATTATCTGTTCCGTGTAGACTTCTTTCTATCATCTGAGTCATTTTGTCAACTCAGTATGAAGATCCCAGCCCTCAAAACTGAACCCTCACTAGAACAAAGCGTAATGTTCCCGTTTATCTCTGCCTAAGTTGAGTCTTTACCACTAATTGTAAATAATGAAAATCAGAAGAAAGAATAAATCTGTGTGGAGACCATAACAGAATAGGAAATGTATCCATGAAAAAAGAGCTTCTCAGAAAAGAGACACTATTAATTTAATAATTTTTCCATTGAAGTGACTAACACTCTAACTCTTGTTACGCAATTAACCTATATAACGCATAAACTGTTTTCAGATATTAGAAGTTATGTGAGCATTATCAGACCCGAAAACCATCAGCATTATTCTGCACATGTGTGAGACACATTGTTACCATAACATTTAAAATCAGAATTTGATTTTGATTCTCAAGACTTTTTGTTAATTTAGGAAATGAATGACTTTCCACTACATGTAATTTTACAGACAACCCAGAAAGAGCCAAAGCTGACCTGAAATTCAAGTGACTAGTTTTATTATGAAATACTTTTTTGTTTAGTGTCTGCTAGAAAACTTGGGATGCTAGAAGGTAAAGGGAAAGTCAGTGTTCTCCCATTGCTCCAAATATTTGTTTGCAATAAAGCCCAGACGTTAGATTTTCAGTTGGCATAAAAATGAATTGCTCCACTGAAGTTGTAGGTTATTAGCCTTTCTAGTATAGCCGTGGGCTGATTCGCTCTTTGAATAAATTAAGATTTTATCTTTAAACGTCTGCCTTTTTACCTTGTACAATGGCAAGAAAAATGTTCCATTGTGGCCATTGTGACCCCCATGCTCAAAGTCCAAAGGCAGCCTGAAGCAATGTTTCACACGCCAAAGTCTGCACTTCTTTATCTTTGAGAAAAGTCCCTGTGGAAACAGCGGGATTTTTGCTAGGGGCAGAGTAGTCTTGCCGGTATGAACTGCGGAGGTTCAGACGCGTAGTGCCTCTATTCAGTTCTGCAGCTCACTTGGAAGTCCTGCAGTAGCAAATACTAACATTAACGGCTATTTCACTGCTAGTCATTTTAGGAAGATTTTTCAGTGAGCTACTAAACCCTGTGGATAAAGTGATAGCAGGGTCTGACCATCTTCCCTCCGTACTGCTTGTTTCCCTCTTTGGTGGCACAACGTACAGAGAGACCTTCAAGCACACACGTGCTCTCAGGCGCACAGGGCTGCTCACAAACATGCGTGCCCATGCTCACGCAGAGCCTTGGTAAAGCTCCAGTCAGCTCGTTTTTGTAGCTTTGGAGAGATGGTCTTTTGTTTTGTTTTCATACAATGATTAAAGACATAGCGTGCACTGCCTGCCATGAAGGCCACAGGTTACGCAACAAGTGAGGATTTATGTACGCGCCAATAAAGAAAGAAGGAACTGAGATAAGGAAGAGCGAGAATAACAAGTGTTGATATCATGCAGTCATGCTGTGGGACATCTCCCTGGCATCAGGAGAATCCTGTTATCTCACTTTTTGTATAGAGCGTGGCAGAAAAGAGTTTCCAGAGATATAAATAAGAAGAGAGTAACACGCAGAGGAGAAGGGAAGTGCGTCCATCAGCAGCAGCAGATGAAAATAGGAACTGAGACAGAAGCAGATAAAAAGGCCACTGAGGCTGACCTTCCTTACAGGATTTATTTCTAGCTCACACTGTTTTCTATCTCTGGCTCCGTTCCTGAGTCGTTCTGATAAAGGAGGGAAGGCAGCTGCTATGCTGGGACTCTAAGGCAAGAAATAAGTCTATTTCGTTCCCTCTTCTCAGAGACTCCATTTGAGGAAGGTGAAGGAGAGATGGATGCTTTAGAAAGGGGAACCAAAACCTGCCTACGAGTAGGGGAGATGCATAAGCATGTGAGGAGCTCAGGGAAAGAGGTAGGGGAAGAGAGCAATGGAAGGAAGGCAGGAGCATGAGGAGCCTTGCATTCATCCTGGAGCAGCCGGGAGGAGACTGTCTTGGCTCTCACACACTATGAAAACAAGTCACTCTGTCAGCATCTCCTTTAATTCTCTTTCGTGCTCATGTTCTTGGGGCCCTCGTTCACCCTGTTGAGATTGGTTTCCTAATTTTTTCCTCCTGCATAGTGTTCTCTGTTCACATTCATTGACCCAACCATTGGGAAGAAGAAGGAGAAAGTACAGGTGTTAAGCAAAAAGGGATGACCTTTCCAATAAATTCTCTCTAAAATCTTCCTTATAAACAAATTCCTTTGGTGAAATGTATGTGTCACTGAGGTCAGTGAGAGTTTTACCATTGCTTTCAGGAGAGCCAGTATTTCAGTTCGTAAATCTACCTCCTCTGCCGCCCTGTGCCGGTTCAGTAATTTGCTCCTGACAAAGCGTAGCAATACAGTGGCACTGAACTGTGCAGACTACTGTATGAGCTTCAAGATAGCTGAGCATCAGCTACCTATCTTATTTAAGTACTCTGAGAACAGGCATTATTGGGTAGTGCAGACTACTATACTTTAAGCACCATGTGACAGTTAGTAATTGCATCATATCCACTGTGTAAGTGATCTTTGAAATGTGCCTACGTTTCACAGTGATTATAACGACATTAAAGCTGCATACGAGGCGATGAAGAATGTAGCATGCCTGATCAATGAGCGAAAGCGTAGACTGGAAAGCATAGACAAGATTGCGCGTTGGCAAGTATCTATAGTGGACTGGGAGGTAAGTGCTGGCCTGTCCCTTTCCTGGGCAAAGGTGCTGGGTACAGTACCTCCTGTCCTCTAGAGAAGGTATCTTGCCATGCAGGGAGTTTATGGTGTCCACATTTCAACTGGTCATTGCTCAGTTAAAAGTCCAGTTGCTTCATTTCCAGTGATTGTGTTACTGATTACCTTGTTTATTACTCAGGAGAGTAGCAGATATTACATGTACACATGTACTTGTGATACCACTGACATGGAGAAAATGACAAAATGGATTTTTTAATGTTAGAGGTGTAGAATCTTGTTACGATTTTTGGCAGTTTTATTAGAACTTGAATAAGCATCACTGACTTTAATGATTAGTTTCCTCTTGGTTTATGCAGAGATAAAGAAGAGCAGAATCACACTCGCTGAGTTTATCTGTGCAAGATTATCTCCATTCTAAGACACTTTCAAATCTAATAATAAAAATGTAAGAAAGTTGAATGATGAACATAAGATGAATTAGTAACATGAGAATAGTTAAGCACACAGTGAGGTCCTAAAATATTGTTTACTTACTACAAATGTATATATATATATATATATGTATGTATACATATGTATATATGTGTGTGTGTGTGTATATGTGTGTGTGTGTGTGTGTATATATATATATATATATGGGTTTTTTTTTTAGGGACCAGATGTGTTAGCCAGAAGCTCAGAACTGATCCACTCGGGAGAACTGACTAAAATTTCAAAGCAAGGTAAAAGCCAGCAGAGGACTTTCTTCCTTTTTGACCATCAGCTTGTGTTCTGTAAGAAAGACCTGCTGAGAAGGGACATCTTGTATTATAAGGATCGTATGGACATGGATGAGATGGAACTTGTGGACACAGAAGATGGCAAAGACAAAGACTTTAACATTACTGTCAAGAATGCTTTTAAGATTATAAACAGAGCAACAGAAGAGATTCATTTGTTCTGTGCAAAAAAACAGGAGGATAAGAAGAGATGGATGGAGGCATGTGAAAATGAAAGGAGGAGAGTTCAGGAAGATAAAGAAATGGGTGAGTTGCAAGGTTTTCCTCTCTCAAAGGCTATAACAACAAATGGGAGTGTTCTTACTTTTCCCATTTTCACACTTAGTGCAGGTGCATACTCTGCCCTCTGGGACTGTTGTCTCTTTCTTACTAGACATGAAGTTCAGCTGTGTAAATGAGGGCTGTTCAGGTGTGTCTTCCTTGTTGTTGTGGGGCAAAGGCTCAGAGTAGTTGGCTGACATCCCTGACACAAGCGTAACCCACGTGATTCTGCTACATTATGGAGACACTCCATAACTTCATGACATATGACAAGATTCACTTCACAAAAAGCAGTTACTAATAAAATTCCATCCAAAATCCTCGCACTGTTGTATGAATCCTTGGCCCAAAACATCTGTTCTTAAGAGACACTTTATGATAAAGCCAAGCAGCAATAGTTGTAGGTTTGTACTGACCCTGTTATATAAAGGCATTTCCTGTGCACAGGATACCAGTACGGCAGCATAATGTCATTAGTTACAGACGCACAACCTAGCGCAACCAGGTGATTTACAGAGAAACAAAGCCCAGACCTTGTGTGAACAGGGAGAAGGCTAGGACCTTGCAAATCCTAGGGTCGGCTTTAGACCCACAGCCTATGGGACAGTCTAGGGACAGTATTGTCTGTGTAAATGTGCTTTTAGAATTGCTACTTAAAATTATTCTTTTCATAGTTTTGTGCTGGGTATAATAGCTTCCTTTTAATAGGGTCAGTGACAAAAGATCCAGCAAAATTTCACTGGGAAAACACACATTAAAAAACCCAACAGTAATAACATAAAACTTTTTGCATTTCTAAAACAGTAAGGCAAGTTTGTGTGCATGTGTGTATGTTGACTGCGCAGGAACTTCTCCCTTTTATAACATTACCTTTATGAGGAAGAGAGCGGCGTAATTCATAAGTTACACTCTTCAGGCTTTAGATGACAGCAGGTTAAAATCTGTAGTGCTCTGAAATGGATGACATAACTCAGAAACTATTAAAATTTAAAGAAGCTCATACGCCATGTTCACTCAAAACATCTGTTCATATGAAATAGGAAGACAGGAATAACCCTTAGGCAGCAACTGCTGATTTTAGTGGCTTTCTCTTGTTTGGTACTGTTGTAAATATGACAAAAATAAGGCCTCCTCCGAATACATTGTAGATAGTCTACAGGCTGTTATTTTGTGTCTTGCTGGGCGTTACTAGTTCCTGGCTCTGAAGTTATGTTTCTTTTAGTTCCTAAGGATGAACTTTATGATCAAGCCACCATTTAAAAATGCAAAAATAGTAATGGAAATGCTTTCAAATTATACCAATACCTATTCTAAAACCAGTTTTAACTCTTCCCCACTGCACCAACTGTTGCAATTAACACCAATCATCCTGTATCCAGAATAAACAGTGAAGCAGCCACACTTAAACTTTCCCCAAAATTTTTAGAAGAAACCTTTCTCCTGTGCCGAACATCTCAGTGAGGCATTATGAGCCTGTAGGGGCAGCATTGATGGCTTTCCCAAAGTGCTGTGTACAGAGCTTGTTCAGTTTGCGCTCGTGGCGATGGATGTTGGCTGCGTTTCCCAATTAGCCTAAACAGAACTCTAAAAAGTGGCTACTGCAAAAGGGTCAGGATAATTGGGAGGTAATAAAGCAGCGCAGAGGATCCAGTGATGAGCGTCCAAACTATCTCGCTTGTCCTGACAAAGTTACTAGCAGCCTCAGCTCCAGTGAACAATGCAAACAGTAGGTTGGTCATACTGAAGGGCAAGGAGTCTCTGGTTGCACAAAGTACGGTATTCCTCCTTCTGTCCTATTCCTCCTCTCCCATCTCCACAGCTCCATGGCTCACACCTAACTTCCAGATATTGAATATGCCTTTTTTTTTTTTTGACCTGGGCTGAGCAAAAGAAGATAAAATGCAATCACTTTCCGTTCCTCATCCTTTCTGAGGAGCTTCCCTGAGCTCTACAAATCTGCACCTACACCTCTTTCTGCCGTGGTTCCTCTCTGGAGCACTGGGCACCCAGATTCTCTGTGCTGGGATGCTTCTGATATTCACCCTAGTGCCTGCTCATGGTAGCAGCAGGTCATCTTTGCGAGTGATGCTCCACCAGAAAACCCCAAGCATGAGGAAACGGCAAAGGTGTAGCAGCTACAACCCTAAATGTAATTATTCTACTGGGACGTCATGAAAATCAGGATGGTTACCCCTTTTGCGATCACCCTCAAAAAGGGCAGCACTTCAGCAGTGGCAGTAGCAGCGGTGATATCAGTGAGGTTAGTAATAATAGCACTAATCCTTCTTTAGGGCGAGGTCACAAATTTCCGTGGTCTTGGGTGCAAGGATTGCAAGGGAGCGTCCACACTGCTTTCTGTTCTTAAGGAACTGTGTGATATAATGAAGAAAATCACAGTATAGTGAGAAGATGTATTTTCTATGTCACATACGCACATGCAGCTTTTTGTGTCTCGGAATGCCTGTGTAAAATCCAGCCTTCTGCAAACTATTGCTTTTCAAATGTAACAATTGATTATTCTGGCATCAGTATCTTGAACCAGAGGAAAGGTAATTGAGTTGTAATAGCCAATGTCCATCTGGTCTTGTGAGTCCCAGTGAGTGGCTTGGATGTTTTCTCCATTACCTAGCAGACCCAGATTTCATTTTTTTGGCATAGCTGAACATTTCCATTAGCCAAAACCCGTGGAAAGGTGCCAGTATTCTCAACCTCAGGTTTAAATTTGTCTTGCTGGTTTTGTAAGCGATTTTGCTGGAATTCACAGGAAACCTCTAACCATCAAAGAACAACTCTTCAAATTCGGACTTGCAAATGGCATTTTGCTTCTATTTTCAAAGATGCTTTGGTGCGGGTCACTGTCTCCCAAACCATATCAAACCTTTCTTAGCCTTTATGAATGTATATGAAGAAAAAGCCACAGCCAGAAAATCCTGCTCCAAAACCACTAATAGTAACCCTAAGAAAATGGTCTGAACTGTGTTGATGAAATTGCTTTTTTCTTTTTTTTTTCTTCTTTTTTTTTTTTAATTTTGGCTGTTTCCTTGTTCCTGTGAAGGAAAAAATTGCAGAATAAAACAGAAGAAACTTCCGCAACCCCCAAATTATAGCTAAACAGTGTTGTATTATACATATTTGCTGATTTGTAATAACTTCTAAGTCCAGGCTAAAAAAAGTAAAGCGAATTTTAAAAGTATAGAGACGCGGAGGAAAATGCAAAATGGAACTCAACCAGCAGCTTTGTTCTTCTGACTTTGAATTGCAACTTCTGTGCTACCCTGTTTTCTGCTTGAGCTAACGTAGCATGTCCATGTATCACAAATGTCCTGTGCACAGGGAGAAGAAACTAGAGTGCCTGTACTCGTGCCGCAGCTCACTCTGCTCGCCTGGTGACCTTTCATAGCAGATGTTTGCTTCCCTGTACTCAGCACGTGTCACTCACACCTAGGACATGATACTAAGTTGCTCAGGGTTGACGACATGCTGTAGCATCACGTCGGTCATACAATTATGTAGACAAGTTAAGGAGACACTGGGCTGCCCCAGTCTGATACAGCCACAACCACCTCAGATGCTGCTTCGGTGCCTGGCACATTAGGTGACACCACCTCCTCCGAGCGGAGACAATGCGCCCTCCTTAGCCTTCTGCTACGTTGCCACTGGATACTCCTCGCTTCTCACTGGCACGCACGTAACGTGCCGTAGGACGGGAATGTCCATCTCGTATCTCGTTCACTTAAGGACTGTCTAAAGTAGTTAAGACAATTGCTACTTTATGCTAGCCAAAAGCACTTTTACATACCTTGGAGTTTGTTCAGACCACAAAAAGCTTTTTCAGCTTTTAAAATATAATATTATTGCATGTGGATTAGCAAATGAACTCATTAAACACAGAGGGAGTAAACAATGAAAATGTGGAAGGAAAATAGGTAGTTTCCTATTATCGAGAAAGGTGAAGATTGCAGTAAGATTGGGTATTTCAAACATGATGATATCAAGAGCTTAGTTTTCTTTTGTACCAAATTTGCACTACTGCAGTACCAATGACTTCAGTTTTTTACCCCAAGTTAGCTCAGAGTAAATGAAAAGAGAAACAGATTCTTCATTTTTTGTCTACTACTTGATGGCATGTAGCTTCCAGAAATGTTAATTTACATTTTTTGATTTCTACTTATCTGGAGCTATCTATAAAAAGAATATTTTTGCTGGTTAGTTCCCCAGTGATTGCCATTTGCTGGAACAGGAAAACAAGCTTTTCCCACTAATCTATTAGCAAATCAATATTTCTATTGTTATCCCAGTGAAAAAGTTTAAATCTTTATATTGTTATATGACAAAGTAAAACATGCTTTTGAAAACTTAGGGTACATTACTACTAAGATTTACTTAGAATTACTAAATATTGGTTAAAATGGTTTACTTAGCAGTTGTAATTTAATGCAATCAAGTATTAGATACAGTATTTTTATACCAATGCACTTATTTGCTCTTTGATATAGGAATGGAAATCTCAGAAAATCAGAAGAAACAAGCCATGCAGAATGCCCGAAAGTCAAGGCATGGAAAAATTAAAGGTAGGTATTTAAGAACTGCGTTACATTCTTATTGTATTCCACTGTGTTTTATATTAGGAAGTAATACAGTCTGGCTATGGTTGAGTTTTTTTATCTATCTTTTTAAAATTTTTCATTGATTTAGATGGAATTCAAATATTTCCCTTAGCCTGTATTTCAATTTCAAATACCTTCATACGCTATCTACTGAATCAGCTTCCCAGTCTGCTTCAGGCAGGCAAGTCAGTATTATCTCTTTATTAGAGAAGAAACTTAACAAATAGAGCAAGTGGTTTATTTAAGGATGTAAGAAACGACATGCAGAGATTAAATTAGAAGTGAGAGTTACTGTTTCCTTCCTTTGCTCTTAGTCTGAGAGCCTGCTCTTCTTTAGTAATTCTGTGCTTTTTGTTCAAAGTATTATAATGTTCTTTGCTGGGAGCCACATGTTGCTGTATTGATAATAATACACTCTAGACAGCTTCTTTTTATCCTCTTGCTAATTTGATTAACATGTATAGAGAGGGACTAGAAAAAAATGGGACAAGTTTTTTTATTCCTTTTCTCTCTCAGAAAATGTGTTGTGATTTTGTCCTTTTCAGTCTTAAAGTCAAATTTGCCTACATTTCTAGTGGGTTGAGTGAATAAATTGAGTGACTGGGAACAGATTAAGTCTGAATTTAGTAGGAAACAAGCAGTTGGTGTTAGGTAGTCTTCTGCTCCCTATAATCAATATTATTAAAGCGTTTTCTCTTTATCAGTCACTAGATACCTATAAAATAATAGTGGATTATGAACCTGTCTGGGTTGTCAGGGAGTGGCTGGAAATAGAGCTGGGCAGATTCTGTTCAGAATGCACAAAGGCCAAAGTCTGAGAACGTTAGCGTGGAAAAGTATTCTCCAAATTGAAGAAGTATATTTTTATTGTTAGTAATATTTTACCCAGCGTTACCCAAGAGTCCACTGCAATGGCAGCGTGTGTTTTAGTGTCTGTCCTTTCAAATAACAAAATTTACCTGGGCAAACAGTATTGCGAGGCTTTGTGAAACAGCTGCTCATTTTTTTAAATTCTGTAACGTTATTTGTACTGGTATTATTCTCTTTCCTTCTTAAGCCAACTCAAAGCAACAACAAAAAAGTCTGAGATTAGAAAGGGTAACATCTAGTAGTGCCTCCGTTCAAGATTATGGTGGGATTCACACTGACTTTACTGACCATTGCATTTGTCCCATGCTGTTGTGCTTAATTTTTCCCTCTGTTGGTTACTCTGCTAGGTGTCTCTTATGCCTCTGTAAACTGTTCCTTTTGCAGGTGTAAGCTATAACGGGTGTCCTATGCCTCCTCCACACCAAAGCTTGCATCCCATTCATCAGCGCCACATCACTGTGCCTACCAGCATCCCGCAGCAGCAGGTTTTTGCCCTGGCAGAGCCCAAGCGGAAGCCGAACCTCTTCTGGCACACCTTCAACAAACTCACCCCATTCAAGAAGTGAGAGGCCAAGGGCCTTGGAAGGACACTAGCACGGGAGGAGAGTTATTCCAGAGAAGAACCTTCGAGACACAGTTAAGCTTGTTTGAGCTCAGTGAATCCTCAGTTCTGGAGGGAAGAACTTAGGCTCCCTTGAGCCAGAAATACCACCTTTAGAAGAAGAGTGAAGTTCATCAACACTGTTCAGAAGCAATGTGGATGGTGTCAGTGAGCATTGCTGATGAAGAGCAGTTTCCCTTCTGATAAAGACAAATCGCTGTTGTTCTAAAGCAGCAGTATTTGATCTCTGTTTCTTAGTAATCTTGAAATAATGATGGCATCATTCAGGTCATTGTAACATTTCATTTTTCTTGATCTTATACCGATGGCCAAATTTAGGTTAGGGAGGAATTTTTCCCTAGGGGTATATCAGCAGGGAATCTTAGGGGAGTTTTCTCCTTCCTTTTGGAGCACTGAGGAGGGACCACCCACTAAAATCAGGTGGAGAGATCCCATATAATTGATGTGCTGTTGCAGAATTTGGCAGACCTTAATCCTTCCTGTCTTTTTCTATTAAGTTGCCAAACGGCAGGAGAAAGTCCCGCAAGGCCTTATCATATTCCAGATTGGAACAGGGAAATTTTGTTCTGTCATATAGAAAAGAAACATGAACAGAGTGCAAAATGGACTATAGAGATTTGTGCATTTATTGCATACAAGTTTAAACAAGAGGAGCCCACGGCATCTCTGATTACTTTCAGTCATAGCAATATACTGCATGCATGTAGACTCTTCAGTACAGAGCTTTTATACCACTTCCTGTGCATTAGCCTGGGAGATGCTTCTTTATACTTCTGATATGCTTATTTCTCAGTGTAAAAAGTATTTCTTTTTTAATTTTTTAATGGAGATAATGTGAATGTACAAAGTTAGAGTCGAGAAAGTACGAGAGACTGCTGGCACTATAGTCTGTGTTACATAATTCTCACACTTTGTACTCCCTATTCATACAGCTTCACTTAAAAATGGATGAAGGGTAATATAAATGTCCATTAAGTTCCTGAAGCAGTCTGAATCTATGCTTCTTACGCACAGTCAATTGACAGTGGGTTTTGACCAATTGTTTCTTCGCAAAGAAAGAGAAATCCTTACCGGAACGGACAGAGAAATTGTGTGGATCACAAATGGACTGTTGTCTAAGAACCATCATTTTGTATTGGAAGGGGAAGGACATGTCTTGAGTAAGGTCAGCTCTGGCCAGCATCTGCAATACCTAATTTGCCCTAATTTGCCTATGACATGAAGTTGATTTGAGAGAATTACTTTTAAAAAGCCACCAGAAGGAAACAGGATATTGACTTTTGCAGCACTGATCATTTCTGTTTGATACTTTTAATTAAAAATGGCAAGACTGTTGTTAATGCGGAAGGAAAGAAAGACTCTGTATGTTTCAGAACTGATTTGTTATGAATGTCTTTCAAATATTTTATCATATGCTGCTGATTAGGGGCATTATCTGATGATAAATATAGATTCAAGAGTATTCTTTGACAATGGACACAATCAGCTTTGTCATGAATCTGTAATATATGAAGAACAAAAAGAGGCTAGAGGCCAAGCATCTTACTAGCAATGTAAAAAAGCCTTATTTTAAACATGTATTTGTTCCTACTACTATTGTTACCTCTATATTTTTATTTATCATCAGTGTTGTAGAGCCCAGCAGTCTGATGATTTTGTGATTTGGTAACTGTGGCAACTTCTGCAAAGCCTGGGTTTATAGATTTAATTTTAAATGACATCTTTGACAACTGTACATTTCAAATGCCTTGTGTATATAGCTCAGCAATAATGCAAAGTTTGGTGATGCTCAATTGTATAGTTCACTGCGTAGTGAACTACTTTGCTTGTGCTTTTCTGTAGTGATGGAAGATGACCTGGACAGTTAAGAAGTGGAAATATACATTTACATTTTCAGTGATCCACGTTACAGAAAGTACACAAGAAAGTCCGTGATACAGCTGGCTGGGTTGTGTGTTTCTTTTGATATTTAGAACAAGCCATCTCCTTTCAGAATTTTTTGAAAGATAATTCTAAATGTTCAATTTAAACCCGAGGAACGGACTTCCACATGAAGGCACAGATGCATGCCTTTCTTCTTAAATGAGCAACCCTTTTGTAAGTGTTTCTTATATACCCATTTTTCTGGGTACTTGCCATGTTCAGGCCTGCCAACCAAAGTGGTGCACATACCATGGAAGTGGAGAATTTTTTATAATCACATTTTGAAAGATTTGTTCTAGATTTTTAAAGAGGTCTGAAGTTGTATTGCAGTGCACACCCAGCAGCTTTCCCAGCTGGTCAGGTTTCTCTGCCATGTTCGGTGGGCCTGGAGCCATTATGAGATCCACACTTACTAACATACTTGCCTTTGATAAAACCTTCTCCATTTCAGGGCTAGGTTCTGTGGGAGTGCTGGGAAAAAAAAAAGATTTTAGGATGTATCTTCTGACATGACAGTGCCCACAAAGGCTCTTTCCACATAGTAGTGCTGGTGCCTTAGCCCTAAAAATGAACAGAAATGTTTGCATGTGGTATGGGATGTATCGGGTTTCTTCTGAAGAGAACTTCATTTCAGAGAGATGAAAAGCAAGTGTTTCATTGTGCAGATTACTCAGGAAAGTTTTACATATAATACCCTATATGTAGACATAGTTGTATAATATTCTCAGTGTCTTTATTTGCAATCTGATTTTGCAACAGGTTAAGAGGAAACCAATATGATATCCATTTTATTGTGTTCTTTATTTATAGGTCAGGGAATGTGCTGGCTATGCAGGGAAGACTGATAAAATACAAGAAGACAGGCCAAATTTAGACTACACCATAATCTTTTAAACAAATTGTAATTAAATGAAAATACTCAATTCCATTATCCAACAATCAAAGCAAATATTTAATAGGAGGTTCAGCCTGATTTTAAGAGTCTGTGGAGAAAACAGTTGCAATAATACGTAAAAGTTTGTATTTTAGCAACTGTTGCCTTGAGCAAAACTCAAAAGTCTTGATCCTACTTCTGACAAAATTTGCATATCATCAGAAAAGTGTGAATGCAACAGCTGTTCTTTTCCTCTTACTTTCACATGCTCTAAGTTACTATAAACTGTTCTAGAGCAACTACTAAGCACAGTTGTGCCTCATTTAGATAAAGCACAGCCAGAGCCTTCCTGATGGCCTGCTGAGCAGATAACCTCAGACTTTAAGCATGAGATGCAGTAAAATATAATTGTCCTCAAATGTGTTCCTACTGGATTAGGATAATGCCAAACCATAATTGCATCCAACTCAGAGCATTTGATGTACAAAATAATAAGATTGCTTTACAAGTGGCTCTTGCCATGCTAAATTTCACAGTGAGTTTTAGTGGTCAGTGTAATAAAGGACTTCAAAGACAGACTACTCAAATGTTCCACATTTTAGTTGTCTTTTGAAAATAATCATAACAGAGTTTTGGAGCCAAAGGTCTTTAGCCATAACTAATACAGTATCTTTCTTTATCTGCCTTTCTCCTTTTTTTTCTAAACCTGTGGCATTTGTATGTGGGAGATGCCTCCTGAATGAGCTCTAATTTAAAACTATTTGTTGTAAATACTAGGGATGACTTGCATATGTATTTTATTTTGACAAGCGTTTTGTAACATTTTATCTTGCGTACATTGCTTTGTGCATCTTACCATCTGTGTGCTGTTACACATGTTGTAAATCAAGTGTTATGGCTACAGAGCAGATGAAATGGCTGTTGACAGCTGAAGTACATGTATAGGACTGCAGTAATTTGATGTGTATTTGTTCTGAAGTAATTGCATTACAAGGTTTATTTACTCTTGGAACACTGTTTGTCAAATGACTCTATTTTCTGGAAATAAGTACAAACTACATTCCCATTACTTTTACTGTACATGTTTTAATTAAATAATGTACAAAGCTGAAGTTCCTCAGCTGTATTTTATAAAACTTTATTGTGCAGTTTAAAGATGTTTTTTGATGTCCACAAAATCTCTTCTGTGAGGCAAAAATATATCTAATATCATATTTATTTTATTATTTTGAAGCAAAAAATGTCACACTGTGTTCTACTGTTTTTTCAGTAACAGCGACAGTACTTCCTAGCACTAATTCGTTTTAACAAACTACTAAACCTGATTCTGGGGTTGAACGCTTCATCATTCAGGCAAAAAACATCCTTGTTACTGTCCCATCCACAGGCATCTACCATCATTGTGCTTTACCTCTTCCTGGCAGACAGTTCCTACAGTACCCCGGGAAGTAAATGTACATGCAGCTTCTTGTATTAATAAAAGTATTGCTAAACAGAGGATGGTGATTTAAGTTCTGTGATTTAAGTGTGGAGGTTTGAATTTTATTTTCTTTGGAGCAAAAATAAAACCTTTCAAAAAGGTTCACCCAAACGGAAAGAGCACCCAATGCTCTGTAAATCTGTAGGAAAGAGGCAGACAGTGCATACATGCCTGCTCATTGGAGCCAATTGTCAAGGATGTTGGAGATTCAACTTACTGCTCCTGACTGAGAAAAGTTTTTCACTTCTGATCATTCTGACAGAGCAGTGGACCTGATTTGCTGCATCTGAAAGGTATGCATGTGTCCTTCCTGCTCAAAGCTGTATTAGAAAGTATGTGTTTGAAACACGTTAGTTTTAACAAAATGCCATTTTTTGCTGAAGTCTTTTCATCAAAAATATTTTGGCTAGTTCAAATGCTGGCAGAATAGTTGGGCTTCCAGACTCTTTCAGCCTCCTTTCAGTGTCCAAGCTTCTATTTCCATTTATTGGTTCACCTCAAAGTTCAGAATTTCCCAGCCCTCCCAATGCCATTGCTGCAGCAAGGTCTGTGTTAAGCGCTCAGATATCAAAGGCACAGCATGAACACTTAGTGAGGCAGATGGGATGACTGAAAAAAATACGCTGAGCGAATATCAGAGTAGGATGTTGCAATCAATGCACTTTCTAGGGAGGCTGAAATTCATCTGGCCATGGTGAGCTTATTTGTGCATGTTATCCTGTGCTCTGAAGTTCAGGCTCAATCCTGTAGACTGTTTGATATTGTCAGCTTCAAAGTTCTTGAAGAGCTATTCTATTAGGTGGAAGTTTTAATTCATACAGACATACATAGCACTGGTTGGGTTGGGTTGGCTATATGATTGTCTGTGCTTGGCAACATAAACAAGGATTCAGACCTTTTTATGTCACAATATCAAAGCAAAATGAAAAAATCTGAAATGGAAAACAGCAAATCATATGATCTGTAAGGAAAACAAGGCAGTGTGTTTCTGAATATTTTTCAAAATTCAGTTATTCTCTCCTGACTAGCTGAAGAATCTGTGTAGTGAGAATGATGAGAACACGTCAAAACTGTACAAACTGGCAGCACAACTAGGTACACTTTTTTATCTTAGATCAGTGTAAAGTTTAGTTCAGTGCAGCCAGGACTGACTTCCGTTTTGCCAGGTGAGTACCATCAGCTGGAAACTCACATACTGCCACTATTAAATATTTAGGCTCTGGTTTAAAAAAAAAAGTGTGTGTGCGCGTATACATACTCATAAACATACACACACACAAACATACTATTTATAGACTCAGTGTGGCACTCCCAGATAATGTCTCTGCTGACACTTTGGTGATAACTTGATCCACACACAGTCATGCCCTCCCTGTGTTTATGGTGGGCCAAAGGTGTGACAGACAAGCCACCCCTCGGATGAGTGAAGGTTCAAACGCTTCTGCATCGCTGGAGTCTGGCGACATCAAAGTTCAGCCCAGTGAGTCTGAGACAAAAGAAGTCAGCAAGGAAAGGGATCCTGCTGCCCTTTCGAGGCCTGACCCTCACTCAAGAAAAACACATGATTTATGAACTATTTCTCCTGGCTTGTGTTGTTTGGAAAGCTGAAACTGCTTCAGGGGAAACTTCAGGTGCTCCTGAGGGACTTGGCTGACAGAACCAGGGACATTCAAAATTCCTCCCTGTTTCCAGGACATAGGAAATAAGATAGTAGGCCCAGTCTGTATAGCGAAGTAAATTTTGCCAGCAGGCGAGTTAGCTGGGCACTTAGCACTGGCCTGGACCTGTGATCATACCCCCGACTTAGGAGATACCTACCCATGAAGGAGTGAAGAACTGTCTAGAAGCTGCTCTGCTAACAAGGTTGGGTAAATCTTTGGTTAATGATGTGTCTCATGGCCATTACTATCTTATTCAGCTACTAACAAAGGTAATTAGCAAGCGATGAATCTGAGAAAGAAAATCTGCATTTTCAGTCATTCAAACGCAATGTTTAAGAGCAAATGATGACCTTCTGCTACTGTGCAATTATTTCCAAGGTATTCTTCTGTGATAACACTAGTGTTTGTCTTCAAGGCTATTCCCACAACACAGTTTCCTGCTTCCCTGCTAAAAAATCACCACTGGACTAACTTCTGACAAAGAGTCCATCAAGATAGATGTTGTTAATGATTTCTGTCATCTTTGCCTCTGTGGGATAGACTGTGGTTGTTGTCTCTGCAAAATTCAGAGCCTCTTGGGGTAGTATCGTGGTCCTGAGCACTTCTCTGTCCTGCGGTGCCCCTGGAGAAGGCTCCTGACACTGTGGGGAGGCCACGACCAGGGCTGACCTCAGCCCTGGGAGCTACTTTCAGCTGAGGCTCCCGTGCCTGGTCCCAACCTAAGCTGCAGCCCCTGCCATGTTGTGGCCATGCCCAGCCTGGCTTGGCTCTGCCTCATCAGCATGGGCTTGTTGGGGACCACCCAGGGCAGCCATCACCGGGAGCCCCGGCCCACATGGCACCAGGATGGTCGGGAAAGATTGGCAACAAAGCTGGATTTTCTGCATCGCAGGATTCGTCATTGACATCAGAGCACTAAGCTGGCAGGAATGGGATATTTTAATGACTCAGATTTTTGAAGTGTGAATAGAGACAGATGATTAACAGCCTTAGAAAATTTCAGATGGTGCCTACCTAATAGGTAAAGAGAAAAGTAGTGTTGGTCGTTGGCTCCCATTTCTTCTCGTTAGCGCAGCAGAGAGGCTGATTTAGCTAGAGGAGTTCATTCAAGGAGAGCAGCTCATGGCTGCACATTGTGCTTTTCTTCCTCAGCCCCACAGTATATGTAATATCCCAGATACAAACCAGGGCACCGTAAAGCTTGCAGTATTTTTTACTACCACAGGGTGGTGGTGGAGACCTTATGGAAACTACTGACTGCTCAATGTTAATCCAGTTATTCTTAGTCGTTTCATACTGATGAAAAACACGTTGCCTGATACACAGATCATGCATGTCCTGTCTTTGCAATGTGAGGATCTCGTCGGACACAGCGCTTTCAGCCACTTGAACTGACTGCGTGAATTAAGGCCACTTCCTGTAACACATTAACTCCTTTTACTGCCTGTTTTGTCTGTCGCTGTTCGTGATAGCATTGATGGAGCTACTGAGACTCTCAGTTGCCTTACTTGTATTACCCCTTAGAGACCAGCAATTGCAGTAATTTCAAAAAGACACAATTAAGAATCAAGTTATAGCTTTCTTGAACTTAGTCATCAACAATATATTTAGTAGCACAACAGCTTTGACTGCTACTTGAATGGCTAGGTGGCATTCTGCTAATTAGGCATTAAAAGCTCTTTGTCATTCAGTTCACTTACTTCAACTCAAATTTGTTATTTCTTTTTTGCAGTCACCTAATATTTGTAAAGCCATGTTCACAGTGGTGTTATTTTTAATTTCTATAGCCCCTTTGTCAGGCTTCCCTTGACTTCCACTGTAAATTGCTTGAGGTAGAGGTAACTTTATTAAATTTTTTGGAGCACAATGATGGCAGGAGACCTGCCTTCTGCCAGGCAATAAGACAAAATCTAACATTTGGTGTAATGTTTGCATATAATTGAACAGGCAACTCAAAAGCCTTGTTAATCCACTGTAACAATTTTCTTCCGCATAGCAGTGGCAAGAGGCAAAGTGCAGTGCACTTCAGTGTAGTATTTAAATACATAGAAAGATCCTTGTTTAAACCTCTGTTTTAATTATTGAACAGCTCTCAAAATTAAATCACTGACCTTTGAGAATTTAGTGACCAAACAAGTGCTTGTCCTAACAGCACGTCTGGTGCCTGCATTCCTTTATAGGAAGGTTTTGCACTCTGGTGAAAGATGCCCAAGAACAGCACAAGTACAAAGTGAATGAGGTAAGACAAAAGATCCTATATATGCTGCTGCTGCTGATGTCAACTTGTGATGAGGAATGCACATACAAGGAGCAAATGTTTATTCCCTTAGAAGACTGGGAATGGAGTTTTCTCTCAGGAGACGGGGTCAGACTTTTCCATAGGGCGCATCATATCTTAACGGCTTTCCACAAAACACTTCTCCTTCCTTTTGCACTCCTCTAGAGCCTTTTGACTAAGACAGCAAATATTTACCTAGTATAGAAGTAGCAAGAAAATGTTTGACCTATTTTCAACTTCCTTCCTTGCAAATTAGCAGCAGCAAAGAGGGATTTTGTTGGTGTATGATCAAACAGCTCTCTGTAGATCACTGGCAAAGCCAGCATAAATAACATTTCCAATAATTGTTGTAAAATTGGGAATGTTCCTGGAAACAGAATGAAAAATTTATGGAAAGTGTTCCAAAGTCAAGACTTTTAAGTTAAGTTAAAAGAATATTGAGGTTTGATATTCCTAACAGAATGTAATTACTCTTGATGAGAACATATGAAGGTATCTCTCTTTTTACATGGTATCTGTGTTTATTATTCCGTAACCCTGAGCAATTATGGTAAAGAGACTAAGCAGAATACATCATAGGCTTAGTCAGTGCAAATGAATATTTCAAAAGAAATACTGATCTTAATATTGGTTTTTCATTCATGAAATAATTGATTTAAGCCAATTATGTAAAATTTTCTCATTCTGACCATCACTTTTACTTAGTAAATAAGTGCTTAACCTATATAGCCTGAGCTTCTGTGTATTAGCGATATTTATGCATATTAACACCAAATAAAATAGACATTCACTTTGTTGCTATTTGATTTTTGTCCCTGAATCTAATCTCTTCCCATCAATTGCTCTTATACTCACTTAATCAAGAAGTGTCCAGAAGAAAGTATTAATGTACTTCAGTGGGCCTCTACTACAAGTCATTAAATACGAGAGACTAATGAAAGAATAAATTTAGCTGGCTTTATGTAGTTACATGAGAAGGGGGGAATCAGGCTAAAGATCTGTTTTTGCCAAAAAGCTCTCTTCCTTGATCTCTCACATCTTTGCCCTCATCTCCCTCTGCTCCTGCTCTGACCCTCTGT